AATCTGTGGCTTTATTGGAACAGCCATGCTGTTAAGCTATGAAGAGATTTCAAACAAAACACTGGCAGTGAAATTTCAAACTCATCCATGTTAAGTTCTTTCTAGAAAAAAAAATACAACTTGTCTTGTCTTACCTTGTTGAGTTTCTTTGTTGGCAGATTTTGCTTTCTTAATATTATAGCTTTATTTCTGGGACCTGTTGCTCTGCCCTATGGTCTATGGCTTGATTCACCCTGGCATTGACTCCCAGATACAACAATGTCAAAACAAAACAAAACCCGTTTCAATATTTCTCTGCATGTTTTCCCTTAAGGTGGTATTTTCAAGCTGAACACATCATCTGAAATACTCTTCTATCCAACTGCCAATTGGTCTACCAAAATGCAACTTCTGCTTGTCTGCTTGGACATTCCTATTCAGGTCATCCCTCGTGTTATCTGTTTGCATGTTCTGACTTGACCTCGCTTTATTCTTTTGTTTTTTGAGTCCACTTCCTTATCCTTAACAGAATTCAACTCTGCTCATATTTACTAGACAAAGCCAATGATCAGTGTTCAGTACTTCCTTAATTGGTTACAAATGATTAACATGCAGATTATGAGTGCTTAATCTAGAAAGGACTTTCTTCTTCTGATTGACATCCCCTTAACCCGACTCTTATTTTTATTCTTTTTTATGTGTTTCTATTTATATCCCTCTACCCCTAGTATCAGCCCAGCCCTACTGTCTTCCTTCAACATTCCCATTTTCATATAATTTGACGTAGGCTATATATTTTATTTATATACCAGTAATTATGATTGTTTGTCCAGAACCAAGAATTCATTAATGAACGTGGGTTTAAAACTAACAGTGTAGCCTCTCTGCGTGTTGCTAATAAGTATGCTTAAATTGACATAGCTAACGTTAAATGACTGGCTCACTAATCTATCATTCGGTTCCTTTACCAGTATTCTCTTAGTGATTTTTCTATGATGCAGGAAGTAGATGTTACAAAATGGCAACAACTTAGTGTCTCAATAGCTGGCCCAACTTGGCCAAAGGTACAGATTTTGCCAGCTTACTTAGTTGCTTAGTAGGCTTGTCTTGGTCAAAAGAGAAAATGTTAAATTATTGGAGACAAATGCGCAAATAAATTAGCAGCAGAGAAACAATCGTCAGTCCATAATTTTAGTTTTATAGGATTCTGTGTCAGTCTCCCCTCCATCCACTGCCTTGGTCCAAGGCTTTAACACATCAACCTTCTGGAAGGACATTTCATGTACAAACAGAGCAATTGCAGACAGCATCTGCAAGTGACCAAATCTGCAGTTCTCTCGGAGGCTCAAAGCAGTAAGAGGCACAGTCGGGCTAAGGACCACATTTTCAGTTCGGCTTTCATTTAGTTCCACACTTTAACAGAAGACTATGTTCTCTGACATGCTGACATAATTCTCATTTTCTGTTCCCTTCACAGAAAAAAATTACTGCCAATTACAGAATGAAATTTTTCAGTTAGGGTCAGATAAGAAGAGATTTTACTTTATCATACTATTCTTTTTGAGATAAGACAATATTTAATGTGCTGAGCCATTTAATAAGAAAAATACATTGCCAAGGGCCAGGTCCCTGTGACTGGGAAAAGCTCACAAGAATTCTCTCGATTGTCAAGGTTACTGAAAAGTGCCACAGGAGGTAGGGCTCTCAGCAAAACAACACTCAGTGGGAAGAGAATCCATTTCTGGGCTCTCCATAGGTGTTGCTTACTGCAGTTCACACAAAGGACCCCTGAGGGAAGGCAATACAGTTAGGTTTCTGAGGGAAGACCACTGGCGGAGAGGATGTCTAGGGCTCAGCCCATCCTGTCTCCTCTTAGAGGGTGGCTCCACATAAGCTGTACCAAGCAGAGAAGGGCACTCTACTTTAAATGCCCCCAGGTACTACAGTTCTTCGGCACAACCACATTCTTCGTTACCAAGCAGCTGGTCAGATTTATCTGTATACTGGAAGTTTTCATAGACAACACTGTTTTCTCATCATACAGACTTAGTCGGCTCTGCCCTGAATGAAAACAAATATTAACAGTGTTGAAATCAAAGCTACGTAACTACCGGAACTACCAATAGGTCAATTCAAGCTACATTCTGGTCAGTATGAGATACCTTTCTGATACCAAAAATCTTTATTTGCTGGAATTGGGCACAAGTAGCTGAAAATTACAGGAGCACTGTAAAGAACTGGCTATTCTGAGGACATTGAGATACAATTACTTGCCTGTGTCTGATCTGTCAGCCTGGATATTAATTCACCTTGTTATACAAGTTGAAGGTGGAACTGAGTTCCACTTGTAACATGGTAGTTTAAACTTTGCAGATGCTGAGCTGAGCTCCCATGTATTGGTGTCAGGAAGGGAGGCTAAAAGCACATCCACATTCATTGATAAAACTCTACAGATCTTTGACAGGCTATTTCTGGGCTCCTTCCAAAAGCCAGGTTGTAACAGGAAAAAAAAAAATTGGTATTTGACTGTTCCTCATCAGCCACTGACAGCCACTTGAATGAGCTAAATTAGCTCTGTTCTGAATCAGAACAGTCCTGTTCAAACAAGCAAATAATTTAAAATAAGTACCCAGCCAGACAGCCCTTGAACCTGCTTTGGCCTCTATCGCCTTGGTGTGCACTCATGCATGTCCCAGGAAATGAGGAAAAGCGAATTTGATATAACTGTCCTAGACCAATGACAACAAGGGCAATACATTGACTAGTGAAAATGGAATTATAAGAAGTTAACTTCTACTTCATAGACAAATAATGGGGATTGAATACTTGATATTACTAACTTTCTAGGTACCAATTAAGAGAATAGGAACACAGTTGTCAGGTAAATGTTTGGTTTCTCTTTGGGCTGCATCTGTAAGAGCCCTATGGTGCTGAAGAAGAGACCCTTTTGAATGTACAGCATGTGCAGAAAGACATAAATGAGAGGGATGTCCTGGAAAGGTCCAACGTGGCTGCTTTTGCAGAGTTTGGCTGTGGCAAAATATGGACTAATTTTGAGTGACTGATCTGAGCCTTTTCAGACCTTAGTCTCATAACATCTTTCAAAAATTTAAGGGACATAATGATGGTAATACTGATTCCGAATGGATGACAAACAGCTAGCATCTGAATTCTGACTGAAAGGCAGATCTAGCCAGGCGGTTTCCATTCTCTCATCACACCACTCTAGTTCAGAATCCTGAGCTTGCTCCCTGTTTAAAAGGAGACTGAACACACAGAAAGGTCACTCTCTGTCACAACTTTATTATTCACCTTCCCAGACTCACTTCTTTTCACACCTTTTCTTTAATCCAGATTCCTCCTCATGGCTTTTCCTGGACCAAGTCAATTTTTGACACCTGACCATTAGCATCATTTGCAAAAGGACAGACATTTTATCAGATGCTGTGATGGGTTTCTATGATTTCATGAATCTGGGTATCTATTACATATATAGATTTAATTCTCTCCTACAGGAAGTAGGGAATCTACCTTGACACAGGTTTTTCTTTCTCACTCTCCTTTCCTTAGTTTGTTGATCCAAATATCGACCCAACACAGTAGCTTCCTAATGACCTTGGTCTTTAGAACAGACACAACATCTTAGAGATTCTCACCCTTACTCCACCATTCACAAGCCTGCAGACAAGCTTCTGTGACTGCCTCTTGGCCACAGCATAACAACAGAACCCATGCCTGCCTACTTCTCTAAGCTCCCATTGATAACCCTTGACTGAAAGGTACATTGCTCCATGTCTCTTATCCATAAGCATATTTTAAAAACTCAATCCTTAGTTCTGTAGTTGGAACTCTTCTTAGTCTTTTGCATACTCCCCCATGTCTTTTGTTTTTCTTCTGCCATGGGACAAGAAAGAAAACATGCTCTGACCAGATTCAACAACCTCAAAACTAGACTTCTCAGTGTCCAGAACTACTGAAATAGCTTTCTTTGTAAATTACTCAGTCTTGGGTTTTTATTTCAGTGACACACAATGGTTGAAAAGAAAAACTATTTTTTCTAAGCTTCCCTTTCAGTCCTTGAAAGCAGTTTTCTCGAGCTTGCCAGTAATATTCAAAAACAATAGAGAAAAAGATTTAAGAGTCCCAAATGATTTTTTTCTGAAAAGTATTGCAAACAATAGGAACTAAAGAGTGATAGCCCTAAATATCTTACAATTGTAGCTACAGCATTTACTGTAGTGATTACTGTAATGCACAATATGGCAAGGTTGCCATTGCCATGGAAACCATACATTTAATTTTCTAAGGCTTTGTGTGTGCAAAATCTCAGCTGTCATGCTGCCTTTATATATTGTCGTTTTCATATACTGCACATACATATGGATCACAGTAGACCACTAAATCTGAAGACAGAGTATTGGCTACTTCCTCAAAGATCTCTCAGCACCTTCGTAGTATCAGAGTTGGTTCAGACAATGAATATATGACACTTAATTTTTTTATCTTACTTCAAACATTGTAGACAGATCTTTATCAGAGCAGCTTACACCGTTCCTTGGAACGGAATGTTCTGCTGCACTTTGGCGGAGGACCTCGGACTTTCCACAGGGCAGGGAACCATGACTGCTCTTTGGATAGGAGAGGGAGGGGGAGAGGAGTGAGGGGAGGGGGAGAAGAGAGGGGGGAGGGGAAGAA